AGATACAGATCAGACAGAAGACAGTAAGAAAAAGGAAAATGTACTTGTCTGTACTTGTAAAGGCATATTGGGGCACAAATAAACCCTTCTCATAAGCCCTAAATAAGAAATCTACAAGGATAATCTCTTCAGATACTCTGAAAGATAAGCAGAAAGATGGGGATTGTCCACACAGCCAAGAAGAAAACCAAGAGCTGGAATCATGCCGTGTGAATGTTCCAGGTAGGTTTGTTGCAGATTCCCACCCAGACAATGAGGCAGGATGTTCAGCTGGGATGACTGAAATCTGAAAGGTCTTGTTAAAAAGAGGGAGCTCCATGAAGGAATCAGGAGGAAGTGCCGAAGAAAACTGTTCCTGGGATGAGGTAAGCATTTGGCAAAAATCACAGTAATAAAACACATTTACCCACAGTCATGGTTAAAGTGTGGCTGGGATGTCCCTGGATGTGTTTTTATCGAATGGCTGCACTGACAGACAGGACTGGAAGTATTGTACTGAAATCTCCTCTGCCTGAGGGCCAGCACTGCTCAGGCACTTGTTATTCCATGGACACCCACTGCTCTTGGGATGGGGACACAGCAGCAGCCCAGCTCTGTGTGGAACAAGACAGTGAGCCAGGAAAGCTCCATATTTCCATTTCCCAACAATCTCAAATTTCCAGGCGTGTCAGGAGGGAGTTAACAGCTGTCCCACCTGAGGGCTGAGCTTTCTGAGAGGAAAGAGGGGAATCTGGTGCAAACACTGAAGTTCAAGTACACCAGACATTCATTTGGGGTTGTCTACTCTATCCATTGAAGGAAGGTCCAAGGGTGGACTAAACTGTATTTTCCTCCACCTGTGCTGTTTGCCTGCCCTGCCAGCCACAGGACAGCTGCAGTCCAGCAGGAGCTCCACTCCCTGGGAGTTTGCACCATGTTGCATCAGGCTCCTCAAGACAGAAGCCTGGATTAATTTCTGTCTTGCACTGGCTGTGTGGAACATCCAGCCTCAGACACAGATGCAGGAGCACCTGGGTTTCCCCTGCCTGCAGGTGAGCTCATGCACTGGTGCCCAGAGTGGTGTCAGCACAACCTTCCTCACCACAACTTCCACACAGCCCAGAGCTCCACACAGCTGCCTCTGGCCCTGCACTAAACACAGGCTTACCCTTGGCCTAAACATCTCCTCCACCTTTGTTTAGGAGTGAGTGACCTGATGGCTTCCCTGAACTGACACCTAACCTTGGTTGTCATTGGGAGGGGCCTCATCACAACACAGAGCTGGCCAGTGGAGTTCCTTACACAGGTTTCCTTCCCACTTTTCACCAAATATTCTCCTCCTCTGAAAAGGAGGCAGCAGAAGCAGGACCAGTGTGAATCTGCTGCTGTTCTCTTTCCAGGAGCAGCAGGGCACCCATTGCTCTCCCTCAGTCCTGCAGGGCACTGAGCAGTCCCTGCTCTCCTCCAGCACCACCACCTTCGTGTAAGGGCTAAAGAACAAGGACTTACAGTGATCAGATCCGTGTAAGACTGGTTCTGGGAGCAGGCCAGGCTCAGCAAGGCTCAGCCTAAGATGCTGCTTTGCCCTTCTGCCTAGAAACCTGCAGGACTGCAGCAGAGCAAACCACAGAGCAACTTCCCCATCCACACTCGAGATTTATATGGCTGGCTTTCCTCTTCTTAAATCTTTCCTACCAAAGCTTTGTTCAAAGATGATTTACAGATGTTGTCATTAAAAAGTTGGTACTTGCCAACGAATAACACATGGGCCTGCTTGAGAAACTGCTCTTCCCACAGCTTTCCCCAGGAAGAGATACTCGGGGTAATTGGTAAGGCCTGTGAGAACAGGACATTATAAAGCATCTTCTACCATCCATAAGTTTTGAAGAGACTCCTGGTTTCCTGAGAATTTATCTTGTTCACATAAAAATCACTTGGATAAACACACATGCTAAAGAATAGGTAATTAAGCCTATTACCATTAAAGAAGTGTTGATCTTTTCAGGTAATATTGAATGGGTCAAGCAAAGACTTATTTGCAACAAAGAGAAACAAAATCCCAGCACTAGCTGATAGACATCCATGTATCTTAATTATGGACATAAAATTAAATGGTTAATTGATATGCAGGCATGAGTCTCAAAGGCCAGAAGGTGACAGACAAAGGAACAGGATTGTACTGCCCATTGCAGGATGAGCTGAACTACAGAAATAGCAAATCCCAACCAAAAGGGAATAAAAAACAACAGAGGGAAAAGGGTGTTACAAGGACCTGGCTGGAATGTACCCACAGAATCACTTCTGTGCTCTCCCACTCATGGATTTCATGCTGAAATCCAAAACCCAGGAGCCCAGCCCTCTGTTAGCAGCTTGGAAAAACATCGTGGGGAGTCAGCAGTGGGCCCTGTCTGAGGAGATCTTTTGGAATAGATAAAAACAGAGAAGTTTCACGATGGTAACCCATGTATTGACAAAATTCTTGGCCATTTATCAGTAAAGAAAAGGATTTTTTTGTTTTGTTTGGTTTTGTTTTTTGGGAGGTGGAAAGAAATGAGCATTCTGTGGATTTTCAAAAACTAAAAGCAATCTCAGTCTTTTGCAATGCTCTCAATACACAGAGCAGTAAATATAATTTCATATAGTTTTGAATAAATGACAGATGTAGTACATATTTACTACATTCTCAATTCTTCAATTTAGAGGTTGACATTGAAATATTTTCCTCTGTTTTTCATGGGCCTGTTGTTAAATGCATGACTGCTGTGCCAAAAAGTCTGTTTGGAAAGGCTTTTATTCCTTTCTTATTCCTTTTGTTCTGCTGTGTGACTGGGTGCTCCAGCATGCCCCAAAGAGCTTGGTGGCATTTCACAGCTCTGGTTTGTGTCTCACCCCCACCTGTGAGGACATTCCCAGTGACTTCACCACCCCTCAAACCAGGGAGCCATGTGGGATTTAGATCAATTCACCACTCAGCTTCCAGGCAAGCAGGGAACAGGCAATGTTGTCATGTTCCACTTCCACAAACAATGGGTAGATGGACTGGATGGGTTTTAAGCTTAGGAAATCCAAGTTCACAGCTGTACAGCTGCCAGCATCATCTCAGACATGCAGCAAGGGGAAATTCAACTAATCTGATGTTTGTTTTTCTTTAACATTCTATTAAAGCAAAGCAGCTCCATAATGAGATTACTGCTTTTTATCTCTTAATTGTATCCAGATATGGAAAAGAGATTTACTGCTAGTGGCTGGTGTACAGTACAATATTTTAAAGCTAATTATGACAGAGCATTACTATTGTCACACAATGAAATACTTATTCTTCTGTTATGAATCAATACCATTTTCTGAAAGTTATTGTAACTACCTTTTTAATTGGATATACACCCTGCTAAATTCTGAAACAGCCAGTTATATAAATATAATTCTTTTAAATCCAGGATGATATCAGCATAAAATATTTTAATTAAATAGATCACAAAGAAGGAGAAAAATTGACATTAAGTAGCTTTCCCTTGTTAAAGCCAGCTGAAAGTCAAGTCTTGAAAGCATTCAAGTGTTTATTTTTTAACTGCAATTGTCCATGGAAGTATGGATATACATCCCCCCCAAATGGTGTATTAATAGTTTGGCTGAAGCTGTTGATAGTTCATTGAAGACTACCAAGCTTTTGTTTCTATTACTCCACACAGAGAGGAAATCATATTACAATATTTATCTTCCTAAATCCCCAGGGTCTAAAACATCTACCAGTCTTTTTTGACTGAAATACAGTAAACAATTAAAAAGTTAAGAGTTTTAAAATAACTTTGTATCCGAGCTCCTTTGTTCAAAAATATTGGTGAGTAGATGGTGAAAACCTTTGCTTGATCTGACACTTGTAATTATTTAAAGATTTTTAAAAACAGTTTTCCTATGTGATGATACCCTGATCAAAGAGTCCATCAATGCAAATTAAAATTCAGGTGTTTATAAACTGGTACTGCAATTACCTGTAACACTTTGCACACATTCCAAAGTGTACCTTTAGGCTTGGTTTTCCTGCACAGATATTCACAATAGGGACAGCTGAAGTCTTGACCACAAGCAGATCACAGCATGTTTGTAAATCTTACCTGAGCATGAGACACCACTCAGTGGGAAAGGGACAAGGAAAAGGCATTTGTTTATCTCAGCAGAACCAAGCAGGAGTTTAAAACCTACCTGAGCTCCAGCCACCTCAATGAGCATTGTTTTCAGCACTCTTCCACCTGTATTTCCTATATTTACACATCTAATCCACATTATATTTACACTAGGATAAATTAAACCACTTACATTTCAGTGAGGTAAAATGAATCTAGAACTTAGAGATGAGGTAAACCAATAATATCAAGTATTTAGAAACTTCTTATTAAGTTACTGAAAGGATTTAACTACAAATTATATTGCCAGTATCCAGTTGGTGGAAGTTGTTAGATTCTGAAGCTGATTCTACACTTGATGACATATTATCCAAGTAATTTAATGAATAAATATTGCAGAATGCAGTATCTGAGACTATCAAGAAATTTCATTAAACCAGCAGCTCACCACTAGGGAAAAAAACCCAGAATATTTCCTACATTTTTTTCAAGAATATATAAATTGAGCCAACTCTGGCTCAATCCTTCAGTGTCATTTTGCAATAAATAAATGTTTATGTTAACACTTAGCATACTCTATAAGGTCATCAATTCTCTATTTATCTGAAGAGCCCACATTATCCAGGAAGGTTCTCCAGCACTCCTGTGATCCAGATTCCATTGCAGACATTATTCACTCTATGTTTAAGTCTTTTATCTGCATGCCAAGTGTTAAATTATATTGGGTTAGTGTCTGTATCATTCTATTTTTGCCGCAGCTCTTCACAGATTAAGATTCAAATCCTTTGAATTTAGTAGGATTTTGACAGCAATTCAAGCAGTGTAAGTCTTAGCTCTGGCCACCTAATTGTGACACACACATTTCCAAGCTCTCTAGGTGCCTACAGAAGCTGTATTTACCTGCTGTGTGCATCCTGTCCCCGGATCCTTGGCAGCCATCCTCATCATCACAATCTCCACTTGACTCCGTCTCCTCACTCCTTCCATCCCCACTGCCAGCATCTCGGGGACCCCATCGCTCCAGCTTCGACTTTGCCTTCTCGGCATCCAGCTGAAATGGAAGAAGTGACAAACCAAGCACGGTCAGACTATTCTCACAGTTCCTACCCCTGGCCCCTGCCTGCTTTACACAGCAGCCAACGCTCCCTCGTGCACTTCTGAGAGAGCTCCTCGAGCTGGAGCCTGTTTCTGGCAGTGCCATTCAAACATTCTGGAGTGACAGACTATGCAACCAAATGTTCTCCGCTGTAGTTGACCACTTATCAAGCTTTTAATTGAAAACATCACATCTATCAGTACCAGCATGGGGAGTGCTGTTCCCACAGCTCTTCCTTTGCCAAGCACAGCTCAGGGATCATTGATAATGATGGTACAATCTGCCAGCTGTCCAAGTGCTCCTTTTGAGGGATTTACAGCACCATGACAAACTTCACAGCTGAGGGAGTTTGCTATTTTTCATGATGGGCTTGGTCATTTGGAAACCTTGCCCCTAAATATGACTTTTAAGATGCCTGTCCCAGCTGCAAGGTGTTCATTAGATTTCACTTGAAGTATTTCCAGGACTGAGCACTTTTCTAAACTAAATCTAAATCTATCACACCAGGTCATGCTTGCTCTAACAGCAGATTTACCCCCCAAAAAAACCCAGCTTTTTGATCTTTAGATAACTCTTTCCCCTGCTATCACCACAAACAGCTGCCTACTGTTAGCACTGTGGAAATAAATGATTTTTCAGCTCACTGGTAGTTCCAAAAGATGAAAAAACCCATTTCCATGGGAGTGAATCCAAACCCAGCCTGTGCAGGGCACACCAAGAGCAACACTATCTGGGAAAAAAATCAAAACAACCAAATGGCTTAGACTAATAAATTGTGTTGTAAGGCAAATATTCATCGTGCAAGGATGTTCCAGGAGAAGCCTGAACCTTTCCCCCACTCCTGAGGAGCACTGACCAATTGGAAAGACACTGCTCTCTCAGAGGCTCTGCACAGCTGCCAGATTGGGGATCTATCCAACACCTTCAGTATCTGCCTCCCAAAGTACTCCAGATCCATTTCAGGCTTTGTGATCTGCTTCATCCCAAAGGACTGATTATTCTTGGTACTGAGCAAAATGTACTTTGAAATGTAACACTTTGGAGATTCAAACACTAAAAAGGAGCTGTTGTGGGAGCTGTGGGTGAACTGGAGCACAGGGCTAATACAACTGTATTTAATGGGCTGAAAGGATGGTGATGGATGCAGCAATTTCTCTGTAGTGTGAAGCTTTGTGTCACAGTCTCCTTCAGGTGCTGGGAGCTGCCATCCTCCCCTCTGGGGCTGACAAATGCAGCAGAGATCCAGCTCTGTGGAACAGCAGATACCAACTTCTGCAAGACAGAACCAGGAAATTCTGCACCCTTTCACTGCAGAGCTCAGTTTGCTCATTCTGAATTCACAAATAACTGCACAGGGCAGTGGAAGATCAGTTAGTGGGAGGAGAGGGTATGGACTCGGGTGGGGAAGCACACTGAACACTCTCTAATTGTTACTACATGTCTGTTTTTTATAAACAACTTTCTTAATATTGAGCCTTGCTATTCACAGCCATAAAGACCGATGCCATGACAATACAAAACAACATTTTGTTAAACAATTGGAAAATTTTGCCTATGAGGGAGAAAGATAACTCAGTTCTTCCACAAATTTATTGTATCCTGACCATATTAGAAAAGACTCATTCATTCTTAGTTATAATTCTTCAGAATGAAAAGAAATGGCTGAGTGGCAGACAGAACAGACAGAAAATTTAATAAAGGCTTTTAATGACTGTTTGCAAGTCAGAGCAGAAATGTTTACTGACTGATAAGGCACTCCTTCTTTGCAAAAATCTGATTTCATTCACTGCCCATGGCTCAAATCCTGACTTCTGCTCAGAACAAGCAATTCTTGAACCAAATAGGCCCCAGCTCTAAGGAGGAAGCTGAGCTTCCCAGCATGGTGCACTGCAGCATTTCTGGGTTCTGGTGCCTTCACTGCAGCGAGAGAGAAGCTGCAGCCCAGACCTGCATCTCCTCTGGATCTCTGAAGGTGAACCCAGCCCTTTTTCTTGGCTTCTCAGCAGAGAGGGGCCACCAAATTACCCAGAGCCCTGATATCCTGCCATCAACTCAGGTGTGACCTACCAACCCCTTTCACCTTGGATACCCTTTCCCAGCCTCTTCACAACAGGGCTCTTATGTCCTGTGGCTAGCACTCACCTGGAACGATGGATCAGAGCCTGACTTTGTGCATCAGTAATGGTTCATCTATAAATTAACCAATCCCAGGAGATGGCACAGTGCAGCCACCTCAGTGAGGAGCCCCAGACACGCTGAGCACCCCTGCTGGGAAGGCAATGTCACCATTTCACAGTGACTTGTGACCCAGCACCCTTCTCTCTGCAGAGGCACAGCTCTCCTTTGGCTACTGCCACAGGACCCCAGTGAGACCAGCGCCTCAGGGCAGTAACAAAGCTTATGGCAGCATGTCCCAGCCTCCTTTTTTTCCCAGAATAGCAGAAACCTGTCTCAAAGGCTTGAGACTGCACCCTGGAGGTGTTTAAGAAAAGCCTGGATGTGGCACTCAGTGGTTTAGTTGATGAGGAGGTGTTAGGTCATAGCTTGGACTGGACGCTCTTAAAGGTCTTTTCCAACCTAGTTCATTCTGTGACTGTGAAAATAGCACCAGGGATCAGCATGGACTGGGATGGTGGAGCTTTAGAAGATGACAATGGAGGACATTAACCATCACTTTTTACTGTCTGTACCCAGGGGTGGGGTGTGGGCAGGGAATGCCTGCTGTGCTTTGTGGCTGGGGGGCTGCGAGGTCCCCAGCAGAGGACGTGGAGGTCACCTGGAGGTTCAGGTCATCTTCAGAGACAGCCTGGAGGACACAGGTCTGTTAAAAACCTTGAGCAATTCTCCAGCCTGCTGCCACCAAGCACAAATCCTCCTGCTTCCCCAGAGGGGAGAACCAGAGTCCCCTGCCCCAGTTTAACACTGGGGAGCAGAGACCGGAGTCAGTCGTGGCATTTCTATCATTGCTTAAGAGCCACTCTTAAAAACGCCTTCTTTTGGTGGCTCTTTCCCTGCCAGCTGACAAATGATGCCATCCAGCCACCCCTGGCAACTCTGCACAACACAGCTCCTGTTTTGGTGCTGAGAATTGATGCCTCAGTTAAATAATTGCAATGAATTTCAGGCTGGGCCCTGGAGCTTGTGCCTTTACCTTCACAAAGCACAAGTTACCTGCTGCCTAAGATTCCAGGGAATACTGGAATCTTAGCAGCTTAAAAATTAAGTCTTCAAGTTTTTGCCATATGTGAAAGATTTTTTTTTTTCCCTCTTGAAAAGGTTATATAAATGGATCAATAAGATTTGTACAGTCCAACTGGAAACTGACTCAAATCAGGAATTTTCCCAACTGCAATAAGCTTTGGATCAGGTTCACAAACCTCTGAAGGGTTTCTGAGAAACTATATACTGCTTCTGTGGGGAAGTTTTAGTGTCTGTATCTGACTCAGCTGAAAGGTAAAAATCACATATTACTATTCAGCTCTGAGTCAGACACAGATGACTCTCCTGCATGGATTTTATTTATTCCAGCAAAGGTCCCAACCTTAAGTGACATTAAAAATAAAAAAAAATAAAAAAAGAAGTTGTTCTGCTGACATCAGGTTTTCTGGGGAAGAAAGAATTCATATGAGAGTGGCTCCTGTCTTTCTCTGCTATTAATACTTCATGATGTAGCACGCACATTCCCAGTCACATAAAAGAGTCCTTCAGACTTCAGAGGCTTCAAAGAGCCCGTGACACACAACCCTTGAGCTCTGCACAAGGATCTAACCCTAATTCTCACTCTGAACACAGGTGTGGCAGAATACAAATTCATTATCGTGGTTTTTCACAAAGCCAGTTCTGCTTGAATACTTCCACCCCTTAATTAAATAATAACTGCTTCACTCCATGAAAACCATTGTAGAAAAAGGTGCCAATTTCTATCTGTTTCATTGATCAGTCTATTTGCTGAGGGGGTCATATATGCATGTGTATGACTTCAAGCTGTAGGATAAAAACCCCATTTCATCAGAAAATAGGTTTTAAAATCCTATTTTATACCACAGTTTCAAGCTTCTCAGGTCAGTGAACACAACAATGAAAATACTCTCTTTGAATAAAGCCACTTAAAAGTTGTGTGCTTGGAATATTCAGAGAAAATTCCATAGAATAATTGTCCCAGGAGGATTTGTGATTAGTTTTCTACATGACAGATTGCACTGTGAATGCTTTTTTCCTTCTGAAGAGTCAGCTCTGAGGTGAAATGTGACTTGTGTCCACTCGCCATGTGAGCACACATATCACTTGCTGCTGTTCCAGTGGGAGGGAAAACCAGCTGCTTATACACTGCATTTAGAAACTGTAAGCTAAGCATGATTTTTTCTCAAGGTACTCACAAGTAGCTGCCTTTTTAAAAGTGCTCCAATGACATAAATATGATTTGCAGAGACAAAGCGTTTTGCCAGCTTATACACAAATAATGCACAAAACCTCATCTTGAAAGGAATCACACATGACTCAATTCTTCCATTCATTTCTTTAAAAATGAAAATAAAAAATCCTTTCTAAACCATTATTAGGTCAGAAATGACTACTGGAAAAGACAATGTGCCTTTGTTTTTGTTAGGAACTGACATACTGCTTTAGGCATAAAGCTGCATTTTACTGGTGCCTTGTGACTAAGCAGATGTTCTGTCATTTCACAAAACAATAGCAACATAACAAATTTTAGACATAACTGCCATATATAGGCTTATTCCAAGTGGGACCTCTCTGAGATAACATTTATGGTTCATTTTCCTCCACATATGCTCTTATCTCCTTCATAAAGGCATTTGGCAGTTTCTCCTTTCCACGTTATCTAGCACACGTACATTACAATGTAAGGAAGGAAAATAAACTCATCTAACTTCAGTTTTGTCAGACATTTTCTTTGGTTTGTTCTTCCTTTGTCTCTATTTCACAGAACCCCAAAA